ACCACAATCTGCCACCAGCTCCAGCTACTTAACTACTTCAGAAGTCCCTGGCTGTTTCAAAAGCTGCATACAACAGTACTAAACAGTATTTCAAAAAATGGCACACCACCAACAGAAGTGCATTCATTAGTTTAGTATGTATAGTATAGCATGTGTATAGTACACAGCTTTGGATGCAGCACTTAATTAGCTTGACCAGATGTCTTAGTGTTATGTAAGAGAACATTCACCCCTTAAACGGCCAGGGCCCAACAGCGGACCCAAAGTTTTATTACACACTTGTACAACCTAAGAAAAGCTCAAGCAGGTTGCAATGAAGTCTCTGTTATCACTGAATAATAAACCTTAGTATGTAATACGACTGGGATTTTAAGGGGCTAAATGCAGGACCAGGAGAAAGTTTGGTGACCACTGCTCTAAAGACATATAAAGGGCCTGTAAATAGAAAAGTCTTAGTGTCATTAATATTTGTATGTAACTGAGAAACATACACACATACTGTGTGGATTTATATATATATATATATATATATATATATATATATATACATACACATACACACACACACTCCCAACACTGTGGGGGTCCTGACCATTGAAGAACAGGGTTAAAAAGGGGCTAAGAAAGTAAGCAGAGAAACAGATGGACTACAGTCTGTAATTGTAGAACTACAAAGTGCACCTACAGGGTAAATTGAGCTGACAGAATGAACAGTGTACTTACTGCGGTGGATGGTCGGTGTGTATATTGTGTATATTGTTATTATTGTGAATTAAGTTGCTTTATGCTTCAGAGTTGTTCCCCTGCCTCAGCAACAAAGTATGTTTCAAATTTGTTGGAAACATTGTATACTGTGCTTTAATGTTCTTGCATGGTCTCCTGTGTTTTAGTAGCATGCTGTGCTAGGGCGTTTTAATGAGCCTGTGTTTTTTATACAGCGCAGTTCAGTGAAAGTGTGATGGCTTTATTCATAGCAGTGTGTTCTAGCTTTCAAATGTGTTTGTGCTAATCTGCTAGTCTTAAAGCTAGCTTTTTTTTTCTGAGACACTGTGTTGGTTTTAGCTAAAATGGATGCACTGATGCAAGCTTCAGTCCTTTGCTGACTCCCCTTTAGTATTCAGTCCTGCATCGATTGTTCACAGAAGTAGTTCTCTTGTTTTTGCTTCTGTCAAATGATGGGTTGAATCCTCAGTGTTTGAGGCATGCGCATGTGCTGAGAGATTTAGACATGAGGGTGTTGCCTTTCAAGCTGCAGGTCTGTCCTAGGCTAGGTGGATACTTAGCATGTCTGAATATTTCATTTGTATTCAATCCATCATTTTCGCTTAGATAAAAAAAAGATGGCAGGGTTTTTAAATCCAAATTGAACAACCTCTATCTCTTTTTCTCCCCCCGTCTCTCTCTCTCTCTCTCTCCCCCTTCTCTCTCCTCCGTTATACTCCATATCTGAACGTGCTCTGAATAAGAAACAAGGCAGCTGATTGAGTTGCAATTTCTCTCTGCCGCTCTCATGCAAGCCCTTCTGTTTCATCATGCCTTTTTTTCAACCTCGCTCTTTCTCTTTTTCCTTCACTCTGTCTCTCTTCCCTCTTTCACACACACACACTGTCTCTCCACAGCATTTCATAATCTAGCTCTTCCTCCTGTCCATAAACCCCCTTTCATCTCCTCCTCCTCCCAATTCGTTTGCCTTTGATTCCCTCATTTCATCTGTCTCTTTCTTTGCTGCCTCTCCCTCCTTTTCTGCAACCCGTTCTGTTTGGAGAGCCACATCAGCCGCTGTCCTTTTCTCATCCCCTTTTTTCTCCCTCTCTCTTTCTCTCCCTCGTCTTCCACCACTCTCCTTTAATCCTTTTCTTTTTCTGTCCCTTTCTCTTTCGGCTGATGAAAACCTTCACCCGCGCAAAACAAACAAAAAAAAAACAATCCGCCAATGTCCCTGTTCCCACTGGCCAAACAAACAACAGTAATCGGATTGCAAGACACCGGGTCTCATTCAGCATCACCCTGGAACATGTGCACCTCTGTCCTATTCTTCTTTCATGCTATTCAATCACATCATGTCATAATGTACAACTATAGACGGCTGCCCGCTTGGACGCAGAGTTCAAATCATTCCTCCAGCTCGATTCTTATCGCTGGCCCTGCATTAAAAATGAATCTGGAATCTCATTGTATAATCATTTATACTGACTTGTACCTAAATCTTATGTGCATTCTGATTGATTTTGATATTCAAGTATCATGATCGAATATCCAGATAACTGCAGGAAAGGAAAACAACAAAAAAATGAAGAAAAAATGTCTGAATACAGTATTGCATATACCTAAGCTTACCTTTTAGACGACAGTACTGTTGTTGCACAAAAAATATAGCGACACACTTTTTCTTCAAAAATAGCCAAGGGAAATCGGTAGGTTTTTGTGTTGGATGAGTAATGGAGGATGCCTCTTCAGGTGAGCTAATGAGCTAACAAGAGTACACTGGATGCTGATGAGGACTCACTGTCTTCTACATGATGTATCTTCTCCTCAGTGGACGAGGTGCCGACATTTTATTTATTAGAAAAATATGTTTTCACTGGCCTGGTTTCTGGCCTTACTAACATCAGCTAGAGAAGCTAGCCTAGTTACTGATCTCAGCCTTCTCAACTACATCCTTAACAGCATATCTTTGGAGCTGTATAACATAAGATGACTAGATTTCTGAAATGAAAACCATGGATATTTTCAGTTCAGCAGTCAATATCCAATGTTCTTTTCCATGAAAAAAGGGGGACAGGAGTTTCATGTATTTTAAAAAACGATGGCGAAGGCTGAAAATTTGGTACTAAACTAAACCGTGCCAGAAAATCATACAGTATTCCAACATCGTGAGTAAAGCTATGGTAAACTATGGAACACTGAATAAAGAAAATAGTCAGCATGCATGGGAATAAATCACAATACTCCTATAAAAGATTTATATTTCTTGCTTTCCCACCATACAAAGGGTCTCAAAAGTCTAGCAGCTTATGCAGGGATACATTTACCACAAAAGATTCAGAGGTTGTGTGAGCCCATAATTCATATTCATATTAAATATTTTGGCAGTAAAAAGAGACCCGTGGCTACAGCCCAATAGCCAGACCCTAAACACACCCCTGGGCTAGCTCCAGTTCTGGAGAGACAGGGACGGCTGCTATCAACATATGCCATATGTCATATATGGATGGCTAAAAAGTGATGCAGTTTAAAAAAAAATGATGCACTATTTGTAGACTGCCAGGTAGCCTATGGTACGCCTGTTTTTATTTTATAGGACATTTCCAGGGACAGCTCCAGCCAGGGACAGGCAACCAAAACTGTCCTCAAGAAACTGGGACATCTGGTCACCCTAGTATAATGTAACATACTCACTCTCTAATATTAGCAAAAGCATCATGTTTTACTGAATTGCACATCTTTTATAGCTGTAGCATTTAATGTGCTAGATGACAAGATGGACCAGAACAAACTGAAATAAGTAAATGAGTAAATTAAAAATGTAATGTCCAACTAAATATTAATAACACTTATTAGTGTTCATGGTTAAAGGGGGAGCTGAATGTATTCCAAGCCTCAAACAAATAAGAGTTGACATTATTAGTTATATATAAGTATATAACAATGCAGGCACATGCATGTTTCATCCTTTTATCATGGAATGCTATTGACATTTTTCTTGACTTCTTCTTTTTTCACTTCATAAAATATCTGGTAGACCTCAGGACAAACAGCAAATCTACTTGTGGGTCCTGGCATAAAATAAATGGCAACACCTGTTATAGGAGAAGGAGAATGTTGTAAACTTTGATATACTTTGTGTAACAAGTTTTATTCAAATTTTATCCCAAGTAATCTTGGACCATCTGTATTGGTCCGACTGTCATGAAACCAAATGTAAAGGGCAACTGGTGTTTTCAGATGCTGTAAAAAATAAAAAAAGCCACAAAAAAGTCATAAGGATTCATAAAACAGCGATTATATATACCAATGATATAGAGAATGTGCTTATACTATGACTATGTCCCAACTGTATAATAAACCTCAATACTTATATACTCAAAAAAGGTCAGCATTAGAATTGTACTGTCCCAAACTAGGTAGGTACCGTCATGTGTAAAAACACCCCTGGTTAAATGACATGTTTTGTTGATTTGATTGATGTGAAAATAAGTTAAAACTTCCTCTACAGGGACCAAACTTAAATGACATTTTTATGCAAATTCTAGTGCAAATTTTCTGTTTACTTGAATAGAACATACTGTAAAAATCCTTTGCTTAGGCCACATTTGATGTTTTTCTGGCAGCAGATAAATGGTAATATGTATGTATATACACACATCTATCTATCTACATATATATATATAGAGAGAGAGAGAGAGTACAAGAGTATTATTGTATTATAATTTAGGGACACAGCACACAGGCTATTACATTGCTAAATATCATGTTAATTAATCATCGCTAATATTCTAACTGAGCTCAGTCCTTTACTTTTGTTTGTATAATCACTCTAAACCCTCTGCATTCACTACTGTGTATCAAACAATTTCATGCCAATCAACAACTGCAGCTGACAGTTAGTGCCTCAGTCGATCATTGTAATTACTTGATAAGATGCATCAGGGATATTGGCTGAAACAAAGGCTGGGAGTTGAAAAGACTCTTCCCTATTTTATTTGCCAATTATTGTCTGGTCAGTAGACTCCCTGTACTATCTTCCACTTAATGACGCTCTGTCATTCTTATCACTCACTTGTGCTAATTTGTGAACATTTACTCCTTCCAACTTGTTAATAAGCACTGCAGTCAATCCACAGCATGGTGACTTCAAAGACTATGTGAAACGTGCCCACTTGAAAACCAAAGGGGAACAAAAAACACTGGCTCTGGTAGTTTGGATGAAACATTAGAGCCATGGCTGGATCAAGGTAAGCCAGACTCATACAGACACACATAAAATTGAGGGCATTTACCTTTGACACGAGTAGAGATGTAAGGCCTTCAAGGACAATCCTGGAGCAGACCAAGGAACGTTGGACTCCACTTCACTGAAATAAAAGATCACTATCCAAGCTGTAGTTAGTTTTTCTCCACATTTGTGGTTCAGTAGTCATTGGTTTTTCCAGGATCTGAAGGAGTTTTCAGGACGTTTGGGCGTTTTTATTCCAAAAGAACACTAGACTGAAGTTCAGGAGAATGAGATGTCATCAGGAAGTGGCAAACCGAACAAAGATGATGTGGGATTATGGAGGTCCGATTCATTTTATCAACATAATCCATCTGCAAGCTGCTTCTGTGAAAAAACAATACGATTTGAGAGTCATCTGTATTTCTTCTTAGGAGAACAACAAAAGGCCAGTTCCCACGTGACGTCCACAACGCTGCTGACTCCGAGTCAAGTCTCTCCAATATCACCTTTGATCTGACGGCGGCCACTGCTTTCTCATTCAGCATTCAGCATAGCCTTAACGTTCAAAACCCACAGACAGATGAATTGTGTTATTTGTAATCATGTTGCATCACAGATGCAGTGCACTTCCTCCAAGCCTTTCCTCTCACCGCCTGCAACGTCTTCCTACCATCCCTGGTGTGCTGTAGCTTTTCCTTACAATGCCGTTTGTTCTAGCTTTGTTGAGAAAAAAAGACTGCTCTTGGACATCCCCGGTAATTCAATTGAAGTCCCCTGTGTTTGCCAGCGATGGTTTGAGAGAAGAAGAGACCATTGATCTTTGTTTAGTCCAGAAGAGCCTCGTTCTGCAGAGAAAAGAAATGGAGGTATTTATTAGAGTTAACATCATATTAGCTAATGTGAAATCAAGTGCTTTAAACAGTCATTGCTGAGGAGGAACAGTGGCACTGTGCCTCTTGAAGTGTGAATGGGTACCTTTGATCAGGCTTATACAGAAAAAAAGCTCAAGTGGTCCTGGGTGGACCCTGGGTGCACCCTTAGAATCACTCACAGAATGTTCCAGAATCTCACCCAGAGAATTATAGCATTAAACAATCAGTCCTGTTATGCACCTCCAAGTAAATTCAAATGCCTTCTGATTTCAATATACACTATATGGCCAAAGGTATGTGGACACCCCTCCTAATTATTGAGTTCAGATTATTTAGCAACACAGATTGCTAAAAGGTGTAAACAAATCAAGCGAATAGCCAGGCAATCTCCACAGAGAAACACTGAATGCAACATACTGAAGAGCTCACTGACTTTAAACATAGCACTGTCATAGGATGCCACCTTTGACACAAGTCAGTTTGTGAAATTTCTGCCCTGCTAGATCTCCCCCTGTTAACTCTAAGTGCTATTATTGTAAAGGGGAAGCAACTAGGTGCAACCTCATATTCACATCATTTACTACAGAGTTCCAAATTGCCTCTGGAAACAATATCAGCACAAGAACTGTGTGCCAGGAGCTTCATGAAATGGGTTTCCATGGCCAAGCAGCTGAAGGTCACTAAGTGCATTGCCAAGCATCAGCTGGAGTGGTATAAAGCACACTGCCACTGGACTTTGGAGCAGTGGAAACATGCTCTCTGAAGTGATGAATCACACTTCACTATCTGGTAGTCTGATAGATGAATCTGGGGTTGACAGACACCAAGAGAACACTACCTACTGGAATGTATAGTGTCAACAGTAAAGTTTGGTAGAGGAGGGATAATGGTCTGGGGCTGTTTTTCAGGGTTTAGTTCCAGTAAAGGGTAAAGTTAATGCTACAGGATACAAAGACGTTTTAAACAATTATATGCTTCCATCTCTGTGGCAACAGTGTGGGGAAGACCCTTTCCTGTTCAAGCATGCCTGTGCCCCTGTGCACAAAGCGAGCTCCATAAAAACATGGTATGACGAGGTGTAGAGGAACTCTGGTGGCCTACACAGAGCTCTGGCCTCCACCCTACTTAACACCACTGGGAAGGACTGGAATGTCGATTGCGTGCCAGGCCTTCTCAACCAACATCAGTGTCTGACCTCTTTTGATTAAATGGGCACAGTTTAATCAAATTGGAAGCATATAATTGTTTAAAACATCTTCGTATAATTTGGAAAGCCTTCTGAGAACAGTAGAGGCTGCTATGGCAGCAAAGGGGGCCAGCTTCATATTAATTTCAATGGTTTTGAAGCGGGATGTCCAACAAGCTCATACAGGTGTGATGGTCTGGTGTCACATATTTTTGGCCATATAGTGTTTCTAACATTTTGAAAAATCACAAACTACAAAATCATTTTATAATTTCACATGTATTCATGATACCTTCAGATGACTTCTATTATGAATGCATCAGGGATCATTCATCACATTATTCATTACCAGCATTTCGGTATACACTCTTGGAGAAAAAGAAAAAAGAGGTGGAATCTTTGTAAACACTGTAAACATTTTGGCCCAAAGTAAGAACTTTTATGTGATGTGTGCACTGTACACATGACGTATTTAAGGATGCAGTGACAGAATGGTGCAGAACAGCAGGGAAGCAGTGCATCTAACTATGAATGTCAACTTAAAAAAATATTTTTTCATTTATCTGCTTTTATCAGCTTATAAATGAGATTAGGGAAGATGATTATCTTCATTTTGTTAAGTATAGAGTGTTCAATTGACATTTTGTACATCCAACTTTTCAATGCCCTTTGATGAACAATGAACAGATGTAGATGTGAAACCTTTGTGGATTATACTTCACAACCATACCTTAACTTAGATAAAACTGTTTTAGGTCTTGGGAAAAACACTTTTACATCTTAGCTTTCATACAACTGGATATCAGGTGAAACGGCCTCAGGCTAATCTGCAACAGGCCAAACTTCTTTGGACAGTAAATTTTGTGACATTGGCAATTCTGTTCATATTAGATTAATTACAGTGTCACTGCACTGGCAGCATTCAGCAGAGATGTTATAAATAAGGAAACTGGTCTCTGGTTAAAATATGAAGGGGAACGCTTGTTAAAATATGAATAGGAATGCTTGTAACTCTCAACATGGTGTTTGGTTTGGAAAGTCCTGTACTTCAAGAAAAAGAGCCTTCAGCTCTGCTGGTTGTGCCATGACTGGAGAAGGGTTGACGATATTGTGGCACTAGTTGGGTAAGCCCCTCCTCATTGTGGAGATCTGAGAAAGCGCAGTAACCAGAAAAACCCCAAAAAATCATTTTGGGCGTTATTGAGCCAAATGCTACAAACTATTAATGAGGTTTTGTCAGATTTTATCAGTGATTTCAAATGTGTTTTTAAAACGGTAATTTGACCTTAACTTGCAAGTATTTTGGTCTCCCCATTTAAAGAGACAGGAATCTGGTCTTGTATATCTGGAAATTACTTCCCGGTGGCATTGCAAAGATGGCTGCCAAGTGAACAGACTTTCTTATAAAGACTTCACATGTGTTATTCGAATAGGTTCTTTTATTTGTCTTTTTTGCCCTATGATGGACTGGCGCCCTGTCCAGGGTGTATCCTGCCTTCCGCCCAATGACTGTTGGGATAGGCTCCAGCTCCCCCTGCGACCCAGAAGGATAATTGGCTTAGAAAATGTGTGTGTGTGTGTGTGTGTATTTGTATTTTTTTTTGTAAAGACAATTAAATTGTATTTATAAACAAGCCTATACTGGCCACATTGGCTGATTAGTGCTTTTTCGCCTTATAGAGGTCGATACTTATGTCCAAACTGATGAGGGACACAGCTCAAGTTCAAATAAACGTTTCTAAACGTCAGTTCAAATAATCATGATCTGCTTGTATTACTGCTCATAATAACTGGGTCAAGTCTAATCACCACTCAGGTAAGCCCTGTTTATAAACAGTCTTTTGGTATAGATGGTAAAAGTGCATGAAAGTACCTGTTAATGAAAGGCTGACCATGATGTGTCAATAATTGCAATTTTTTACATTATTTTCACAAGAACTTGCTTCAAAACACATCCATTTACATTCAATTTGTTGCAGTGTAAATATATGACTGTGAAAGCTAACAACTGTGGAAAATAACTAGGCAGGTTAAATCATTGTAAAAAGCTCAAGTAATTGCAGCCATCTTCAATTATTATGATTAGCTTTAATATTTGTGATTACAGCTGAAAGATTAATCATTTCAAATCAAAATAGCATTCTGAAAGAGTTCAATTTTCAAATCACCACAGTTGTGGTTTTAATTAAATTCCACATTATTCACAGTTATCTTGAGTTTTAAGTAGAGAAAATTAATAATAATTTAATGGTAACAGAGCCTCAAGCCTGAATAAATGTGTTTGGCTTGCTGGCCATAAAAGAAAATAATCAAATTTAAATTGCAAACACAATATTGGTCATTACAATCGCAATTTGATATTTTCCACAAATCGTTCAGGCCTAATTGTGATCAGCTGGAATAATTGTGATTAGCTCCAACACATGCTAAACAGGTGATTATGTAATAACCATGACAGGCCTAATCACCACTTAGGTACGATGCACTTCAAAGTAATGTCCTTTGCAAAAAATCCTTAAGTAAAGACGCCAAAAGTACATGTTAGTCGACCAATAAGTGGTCGATAAAGACCACCAGACCAGTGCTGCACAGTACAGTCTGTTTATGTTTGTGCGTATGCTTGAGGCAATGAGGTAACGGTGAGTGTGTGAAGGAGATTTGGGACAAATAAATTACTGCCTGTGCTGACAGTACCAAAGCAACCAAATAGCAGGTCGAGCTGTCCTCTGATTCACACACACACAAACACACGCGCACACACAAACACAATCTCTTCAAAGGTTAATGAGCCTAAAACTCAGGATACCCACCTACAATTTCTCATGCCCATTGTGTACTACTGCATAGCTTATGTAGCTTAGCAGCTACAACGCTATGCTGGCAAAACACGTCAAGTGTGGCGCCAGATTCAATCAGTGTTAATAAAACCAAACAAGATCAATAAAGTCAATATTTATCAGCAAAAGAGTGCAAGGCCACTTACATAATGGGAAACTAAAAGGCCCATTAAGAAAAACTGGGAAATCAATTCCTTAAGGAATAGAGGAAAGCTAGGTGTGGGAATCAATAGGGGATACAATACAGAACTATCATGATGTTTCAGTCATGATATATTCTATTTCAATTTTCATAGATTT